AAAACTATTTTACTTGGCTTATAGATTCTTTTTCTTTGATCTGAATGATAGAGTTGGACTTGATTTCCTCCAATACCAATACCATTAAGTATTATGTGTCAATCTGTTATACGCAAAATAGGCAGTTTAGCCTGCTTTTCTTTTTGGATTTGCTCCCATGTCGGTTGTCCATTTTCACATTCTAATTATATACAGACTTACTGGCGACTACACCAGTTCTTGTAACAAAATGCATTGTTATACTGGTATTTAGGCCATAAATTGTGGTCTTTTAAATACTTTTGTAAAGTCAAATATTACCTATACACGAGTTTAAAGAATTAAATTAAATATCTATTTTAAGGCTATTTCTAAACTGAAAGCATCAGAGATAAAGTTTCAGCTGGTTTTGTCGCAAATCCTTCTACAACAACTCCCGTAGCATTTTTATGGCAGGTGGAATAACTATAATTACTTTTTTCACAATAAAAGCTTGCAGCCCCTGAGGCTAAAACCTCAGACAGTTATAATGGGTGAAGACTTAAGACACGCTAAGATAATCGCCATAAATGTTAGTCTCTGTAAAATGCTCCGAAACAGAAAATGACATCGTGCAGGCATAAAGATACAACATGACCAGCAGTGGCGTAGCCAGGATCGTCTCAAGGGGGGTTCCAATTTTTACCCGGGGACAAACTTTTGATTTGCACCCCCCCCCCCTCAAACTTTCGATTTGCACCCCCCCTCATACTTTATATATATATACCGAGGGGTCTATGGGGGGGGGTTATGACCCCTCCTACCCCCCCCCCCCCTGCCTACGCCACTGATGACCAGTAACACAAAGTTGATCTTCTGGAACATAGGTGGGAATAGGGGAGAGAGAGAGAGAGATAAATACACACAACCAATGTTAAAATTAAAATGCCAAATGCATCACTCTTAATTTTAAATATTTACCAAATTAAGGAAATAATGTACAAGTTACAAGGGTAATGCTACATTTCTCATGCCTGGAAGAATCACTGTAAACAATACATGCTTCAAAATGCAATCTGCATAAACAAAGCCAATAGTTGCCTAATTTAATTTTTTTACAATAATTTAAAATAAATACCTAAACTATAATAATTAATCCAATTAACTTTTTAAAAAATGTTTAGAACTCTAACTCTAGGTTAATACACAAAGATTTTTTTAGATATGAGCAGCCAAGCAAGTGATTTTTACTTTGTGTTACAAGCAAAATTTTGGATAACCGGACCGAACTCTAACAGTTCGTGGAAAAGAAACACCCCGAAAAATTGTATCTGATCGTACATTGAAGCTATTGAATAACACTTTTGTAACTCATTTCTGCCACATTCTGTTTAAAGTATTAAAGCTACATGGATGTGAAGGTGGGCAAATCATGTTAAAAAAGGCAAAGACCAGTTAAGAGAAAAGCAGTCACATAAGTTAATCAGAAGTTATGAATTATCAAGTACCATGTAAGTTCAACTAATTTCAATGAATTTTAGTTTGAGTTCCATTAAATTTAGGTATACAGTGTTGCATTAAGAGTTTAACTATTAACTTCAGTAAAAGAATTAAAGAGAACCGAAAGATTTTAGCATTAAGAGGGTAGAGTTGAGTGAACAAAGTGAAACTCCTCCACTATTTAACTTCAACTAGGGTCTTCATTAAGCTCAAGTTACATATTATAGAAACAGTTTATTTCTGTATATTCTCCTTACATTTTTATTCAACATTTCTTTTTTTTAAATACGTTTTTTTTTTCTTTTTAAAAATTGTAAAAAATTAAACTGGAGTGGCATTTTGAGGGCTGGAACGGATTAATGGCATTTCGTTTAATTTCAATAAAGAAAATTACTTTTTGATGCTTCGACATACGAGTGATGTTACCGAAAAAATTAAATTTGTAGCTTGAGGTGTCATTGTTGTATTGTGGTAGGAACATAGTGTGAAACATGACTTGCCAACACTGTCAAATAGGCCACAACAAAGTCAGAGACTACCAACTCAGGTAACTCTATGATGCAGCACCTGGTCTATGACCAACTCAGCTAATATTAAACTGGGCAAAACATTTAATTATTTGATTAATTTTTTTTATTCAAAGATATAAAAATATTCTATACTAATAACATATCTTAATATTTAAGTCGCATCACTAAATTTCAATCAAACTATTTCTTGATTTTTACCTATTTCATTGTGAAGTATAAAAAGTTCATACTCATCACCCTGCCGCCCCCCCCCCCCCCCCCCCATACAAAATATATATATAATTCATACACAGAATACTATAACCAGAGTCCGCCTTCCCCTTGGAAGCTTCAAGTGAGGTTAGTGTCCCTCCACTGAGAAATATCTGGAAAAAAGCCCTGTTATGCCTCTATATTTTCAATATTTACAAAGGATCAATTATTTCTAAAAGCTATGTATTTTTTTTGTTGAGTATTTGAAAAATAATGGAATAATTTTTGTCCATGAAAAACAAAAATACATATTAATATCTTAATTAAAAACAAACAATTCTGGCATGAAACAGAAGTTCATTGATTTTAATATATGAAATCTAGGCCTACTGATAGATCTAGCTGGAAGAATTATGAATAAAGAGGATTGAATGTACAGTGTGTGAAATTTAAAAAATTAAAATATTTCATACTTAACTTAAAACCTAGATCTCTTTACTCAATAGGCCTAACTATAATAATTAATATGAACCCTCAACCCCCAAAGTGCAATTATTAGGTGTTATTTGAGCCCATTTAGTTGAGCAGCTATTACGTCATTGTGGTTTGAATGTTTTGCATCTTCTGCCGGCCAGACTAGAGCTAAGGGGCAGGATAAGTCACACCTACTTTTTAAATATGATCAAGACTAGTTCTAGCTTTATCTTTCGGCTGATTTTAGATAATGATGTCCGATAACATACTCTTCCATAAAATAGGTGTGGGTTGTTACAGTTACTGGTATTATTGTAAATGTAATCTCGACTAGTTTTATGGTTAGAAATTTGGGTGGGGACAGGGTTAGCATTGACATTAGCAAGCCAGGTGTGTATTTTAGATAACTAACAGTAACCTTACACCCCTTTTTAAGAAGATTTAATATCAGACACTTGTATAGTAAAATTACTCCGATCTTTCTTTTTCGGGTGTGGGGAAATTGTGAGACGCGAAAAGCGAAATGGCGAGACGGGAAAATGCGAGAAGTGCGCGAAAACTGTCGGTCACGTGACTTTTTTGTCTCGCATTTTACCACAAGCCGATACTTACGCTGGGTGGTGTTGAAATGCGAAGATTTCTGCGAAAAATTTACCGCACCCGATTTTCAGTGGTATTTGGTCCAGACTTCAAGGACGTTTCGTTTACATTGTTAAAACTTCCGATTTTTTCCGTCGCTAGACATACTGATGATTTGTCAACTCCCCCCCATCTTTTGTAGGGGGGGTCTGTAATTTTATGACGATGTGTGATGAGGGGGAGGAGGGGGGGAATTAGATGTGAAGTCACACTATAAAAAAAGCAATGTTAGAAAAAGAATTTTAGACGTTTTTTCGCGTTTTAGAAAACTGTTTTAATACATTGTAATAGGAATTGATTAAAATACTCTATTTTGACCGAAATTAGACAAGATTTTGAGACAATATCGATGTTTTAAAAAAACTCAACTGCTGGTGACAACAATGAGCAAGACATTGCCAAAATTACAGAAATGATAAAAAATACAAATTATAAAAAACGGAAAACAGATGTTGAGCGTGCGGATGATGATGATGAGAACATGGGTGCCAGTGTTGTTTGTGGGATGAACGAGAAGGTCAACTGTGATGAGAATGTGAAATGTTGTGAATGTGGATTGGAAGAAGTAGCAAAAGAAAAATGTATAAATGGGAGTCTAATGAACTGGGTTGGGTGTACTATGTGTGAAAGATGGTGTCACGAGGTGTGTTTGAGGACTGTTTAAGAAGATTTTGTTTGTAAATTTTGTTTGTAATTAAAATTACTTAATAAAAAAATAAATTGCACTTTTTAGAATTGTTTATACTTTTACACTTTTTGCAAGTACAAAAATCCATAAATAGATGTTGCAAAATATCTCTCCTGCTGACAAGATTATACCAATTCACAATGACACAGCTCACGTTTGTATAAACATGAGCGGGCTAGATTTTTAAATTAATGCCGACTGAGACGGGATTTTCCTCTCGCTAACAAGAGCGGGCGATGACAGTAGCACAGCAACGATGTTAGGATTTTTAAATAGATAGATCTAGATATAGATCTATCTATCTTCTTAGTATCTAGATAAAAAATAACAACATACAACACTCGTGTTAAAGGGTATGGCTAAATGCTTGTTTATTTTAAAACAAAAAAAATAATTTAAATAAATAAAGATGGAAAAAAAAGGAAAAAACTTTTTTCGCAAAAAGTGTCTAACTATTTACCCTTAATTCCGCAGGTATGTCTCGCATTACCTTCTCGCATTTTCCCCGCCTCGCCATTTCGCTTTTCGCGTCTCGCAATTTCCCCACACCCTTCTTTTTCTAGATCTATCTAGTTTTTCTAGCTAGCTAGATCTAGAATTCTCGAGATTTTATAGGCCTAACCCTGCCTAACAGTAACTAGAGTCTAGATCTAGATTCTAGATATCTAGTAGATCTAGTAAGAATGGAGAAGATAAATATTAGAATTAGATAGATCTAGAATGATTGAAATTGAAAGTAGGTTGGTTGAAAGTTGAAAGATCTAGAATCTAGAGATATCTACTATTATAGTACTATCTAGATCTCTAGTCGTCTCTAGTTTAGATCTAGGCAGTCTAGTCTAGAAGTTTTAGTTTTAGACTAGATTCTAGATCTAGATCTGGTGATTTTAGTTTTAGTCAGTTGTTTTTTTTTAAGTTTTCGACATTTTTATTTTTAGCATACAGCAGTGTTTCTAATCTAGATTATTAACACTAAAACACAAAACGTGTGAGCGAATAGATCGAAACGAAACTCTTACCTAGATTCTCTGGTAAACTCATGTTTCTAATTTAGCTGCATCTATCAGTAAAAATGTAAAAGGGGAAAAACATTGAAGAAAAAAATGAAAAATACAATGAACACTGATTTTTCCAAGTTGTCTGTTCTTGTTCCGGAAGTTATTTACGGACAATATATAATTCGAGCATATACTTTTTAATTATTTGTTTTACAATTTGTGAGCCTAGCCGCAGCCTAACCAGAACATTCTGCCAGTAACTAGATTCTATATCTATAACAATTTGTTACAACTAATAGAAAAATAATAAATGAAGATTCACATGTAATAAAATCGTAATTAATTTATTTTAAAAATAGAATTGCACATAAAAAATAAGGATAAAATTTGATGCAGAGTTTCTTCCAGGTATCTCTTCAAGAAAATTTCAAGTGCCCTTCCCCCCCCCCCCCCCCCCGAGAAAAAAGTCTGGAAGAAAAAGTGGGGTTTGGGGAGGGGGAGAAGAGATGCCTGATCCATCCTATCAGAAAGGGGTCGTCCATAAATGACGCCATACACGTACGGGGAGGGGGGGGTCAGTAATTCTGTGACTGTGTGTGATGATGGGGAGGGGTTCAGATGGTGTGACGTCACACTTTTGCATTATAAAAAAGCAATGTTGGAAAAAGAATTTTAGCCGTTATTTCGCGTTTTAGAAAACTGTTTTAATAAATTGTAATAGGAATCTATATATAATTCTCTTCTGGGAGCCGTTAGTAAACAAGCTGCAAGCGCCTCCTTGCAGTCCCCTCTCTTTCTCTCTATCACTATCACTACCACCCCCACCCCACCCCCACATTGTCTGGTGAGTTGTGGTCATGCTAAATGTTTACAAAGATAAATGTTTACAAATAACTAAGAGGAAGCTGCTTTCACGGGGGGGGGGGGGGGGGGGGGGGGGGGGGTAGGGTCGGGGTCAGGGGAAAGGGGGGGGGGGTAGTGTTTTAAAGCAAATATTTTCAGTGGCAGCTTTGGTACTGTCGAATTCACAAATTATGAATTACTGAAAAGTAGAAAATACAACAACTAAATAGCGGCGTATGATACGCTGCGGGTCGTCTCGTTGATTAAAATACTCTATGTTGAGAGAGTTCAGACAAGATTTTGGAAAAAAATATTGATGTTTAAGAAAAATTCAACTGCAATTTTGTGGGGGGTTGTATGCTGAGGTGTGACGTCATTTAAGATGGGGGGTCTGGCTTTTTGTGACGATGTGTGACGGAGGAGAGATTGGGGGGGGGGGGTCAAAATCGTCAAAAAACCGCGATGTCATTTATGAATGACCCCAAAGGTTGTTACCTTACTTGAGCACAACTTTGTTTTGCGTAATGTGGTTTCGGTTATGTAGCAATAACTTATTATTTAATAATTAATGCTGGTAATAGATTATCACAAAAAATGAACAGGTGACATAAAACTAATTTGTTTACATGAACGAGGGCCATAGAAAGGTTGTATTAGTTGTAATTATTTTGGTTGAACTGTGTCTCAATACTTAGTTTACCTTAACCCTCAGATTACGACACTGAGACTAACAGAACAATGACATACATGTTCTCGGCAAGATCGTATGTATTTTTATCCTGTACGTGTTAATAGCAGTGTTTCTTCGAGACTTTTTCTCCGGTGGGAGGGGGACGGACACAGTTAAAAGTATATATTTTCTATATAAATTCCATTTCGTTCGCATCTAACTTACTTTAGGGAAAGTAAAGGCGGATAGACATAGTGCTGATCACACTATCCCTTCATATGCCGAGGTCACAGAAACAGGTGAACTCTTATTCACTCGCCCCATAGCAGTGGCGTAGCGAGGGGGGGGGGTGCAGACCGCACCGGGTGACACCATTTAGGGGGGGGGGGGGTGACACCAAGGCAAAAAATAGCAAAATATATAGAGAAAAATTTGAGGAGGGGGGGGTGCAAATCGAAAGTTTGAGGGGGACGCAAATCGAAAGTTTGAGGGGGGGGGGTGTGCAAATGGAAAATTGAAAGTGTGTCCCCGGGAAGGGTCGCTACGCCTCTGAGGGGTGACACCATTAAGTGCCGCACCGGGTGACACCCGACCCTCGCTACGCCACTGCCCCATAGACCTTCATGTTAGGAAGGAGAACTTTACTTTTACATCTTGATTATGTCAGCCACTACTAAAATTCTGCACAACTACAAACATTTAAATCTAGTTAGTAGACACAATAATACAAGCCTATTATTGTCATTTCCGTATTTCTAGAATCGAGAGGGGTGGCAGTTCTACGTAGAAATAGTTTGTGCTGATGCCGCACATCATCTCAACCTAAACATAACTCATAACTCTTTCATTGATTCAGTCGTTTACTTAAAAACCCTAAATATTATCAGCAAGCTTAAAAAAAGATTGAACCGTTTCTTTCCCTTTTACTTTTGTTTTCTCGGTAAAACATTACGATGCTCTATGTTCCAATGTTCTAAAGTCTAAACACACCCAGTTCTTATGGTTAAAATTAATAAGTTTCACTCTTTAAAAAAAAAACAAAAAGAAAAAAACTCTACTGCTGGAAACTTTGTTATTATTTTTGGTGTCAATTTTGAAAAGGGATTCCCTCCACTGCTCTCTCTCTCTCTCTCTCTCTTTCCCTTTCTCCCCCCCCCCCCCCCCACCCCTTGGCTAAAACCATCCTACGTTCGTCAATAGACGGGTCACGCTGCAGTGGCTACCAGCACCACCCCACGTCTGACCAGTCACATTCAAGCTCTCCTCATCACCAGTGAACCCGGCCGACCGTAAAAAAAAAGAAAACTCCATCAAAACAAAATGGCACGTGTTATCACAATGAGGTCATGGGTAGGTCAAATAGGTAGGTCAGCGGCGTACGTGCAGGGTAACATAGTCTTTCCACCCAAACCGAGCGTTCATACATTCATTCAAGCTACATCCCCCTCCCAAAAAAAAAAGAAAAAAAAATATATATATAATTTATTATAATACCCAGTAGGCCCCTATATATAACAATAATGTTCAATAATTTTCAATATATACACATTAATATATATTAAACGCCTTTTATTATCAAGACATCCATCCAATGGGCACTTTTACTTTTACTGTCAGCCTCTTTTTCAAATACGACATCAAAATCATGATACACGATAACTAGCTGGGCAGTGGACTAGGAGCTTTATCTCTGGAAGTTACGTAATAAGTATGCCAATACTCATTTACTGCCTATTACTTATTATTTCAATATATAGCCTAGGTCTAGATCATAAAGTGATTATATGAGCATCTTGAGCGTAGGCATACTTAGTTGTTTTTTACTGTAAAAAAAATAGCTGACACGCAGAGTTTCTTCCAGGCATCTCTTTGGGGGGGCTAAGCCCCCCCCCCCTAAAATTTTTACCGCCCCCCCCCCCCGAACGAAATGAAATTTATATAATTTATATAGAAAATATATACTTTTAACAGTGTCCGCCCCCCCCCCCCCCCCGAAGAAAGTTTACCGCCCCCCCCCCCCCCCGAAACCCATTGCAGGCTAACCAACATAGGCATTGAAGTTTTTAGTCCATAAGAAAATTGTAAAAATAAATTGTAAAATATCTTAAACAAGCTCCATACTGTCCATACATGAACATTGAAATATACCCCCCCCCCCCCCCCCAAAAAAAAGGATATCGCATGTGTATTACTCGCCCTGAAAACTAAGAATGTAATATTGAAACGTCAACCCCAGCCAACACATTTAGACGACAAAAGCATTAATTATTCAAAATCCGTCTCTATTCACATATCTCTTAGACATCCAGATGAACACCTTGTTTAATTCATGTCGAACAAGAGATTATCCCAGTGACGTCATCGATAATCGCGATAATCAGTGACGTCTTGTGCATGTGAAGGGAGGGGAGGACGAGTGTACAGTAGTAAAGAAGTGTCAAGTGTTGACACCACAACAATGCAGGTGCACTGATTGAGATCGTTAATACTTATTACATTCATTATTATTAAAAACTACTAACTATGGGAATGCAAAAGCAAATCGAAACGACAGTAATGTTGGTTTATTATTAAATAATAAAAAAATAAATTTATTTTATGATGTGAAGCACAAATTAGTGTAATGCCTGCCTTATGTCATTTATAACAATCTAATATTTAGCAACTTAATAGTGTGCCCTATCTATATCTATAATTATTTATTATTCAAAGACGTGACTACGTTACGTTTAGGTGGGTGAGTTGTTTTTTTTATAAATAATACTTTAAGTCAGACTTAGTGCTAATTACTAATACTATGCACCCTTTTATAAAGGTTACCTAATGACCTAAAGGATGAGTGTGTAAAAGAAACCTATCTAATGGGAGAGTAGGCCTATGTCTAGATCTACATTTTAAAAACTATAAATAGGCCCACTCTGATTTTTAAAAATAAACAAATAAACGAGCAGTTACATGGATCTAGCAGAAGTATTTTAAACTAACTTATGGATTACAAGAGTTTCCCAGAAAACAAGTTAATATTAAGAGGCCTGGATCTATATTAAAAAATAAAACAACAAAGATGACTAGGTAAACCGAAACCGGAATAACCTACAAATATATCAATTTAGTGTGTCATGTTTATATTTACAAACACACGGCTTAACCTCACGCAAGGTCACGGGTTAGAATTTTTTCAACGCTGCACCCCAAAGGCTTATTAAGTTTTATTAAAATCCCCTTTGTAGCGGTGTTTCCCAACGTCAGTACCCGTTTTACAAATGCATTAAGTGAATATTTTTAACGATCGAAGAGTCGCGAAGAGTGACACGATAGTGGCACTGCAACTAGAACATCATTCTAGAACTTGAATACGTGTAGTAGTGGCTTAATGCGGTCAACCTACATTTTCTGATGCAAATCTCTTCGGTTCGTAAACACGCCACCACTACGTAAACACCATTCGCGGCGTATCCTGCGATTTGATTGGCTGCTGGTCCCGTGACTCAAGCTCCACGTAGCAAGCGTCGGCAACATAAAAGAGACCGTCTGCAGGTAGAGAACGCTAGAGTGTTTAGACCAGGATGGACGCATAAGAAAGATATTGAAGGGTTTCAAAAGGCTTTACGCCTGAAAATAGTGGCAATGGTTGATCGCCGTGATAAATTGTAGAAATAAAAGTTAAGATTCTAAAATACAGACCCTAGAGTCTAGTGATTTGTTGGATTTGTCGACGAACGGATAATATTCATTATTCTGATCAAGAAAACACACAGCCGTTTTCTGCTATTCTGCCGCCGACCGATTTAGTCTCAGATCTGCAAATCATCAGCCTCAACATGAGAACGGTAAGTTATTTTTTAATTACTGCAAACACTGGTTGCATGCACAAGATCTGCATACTAAAAAATACCACATAAAAAAAGAGTGGTACATTAATCTACTCTGGTCTGAGCTCACTAGCTAGACTAACACTAGCTCTAGATCTAGATTTCTAGTCTTATGTTGTTGTTGCACTACCCACTACGACTATACACAACAAACGCTTTGTTTGGTTGGTCTATTTTTAGATTTAACCGGTCGTAACCCAGCCGAGGTCACTGTTATTTTTTTAGGTCTAAAATAAAATACTAAAGAATCTAGATCTAGATCTACTACATAAAAACAGTAATAGATTTTGATATAGAATCTAGATCTAGAATCTAGATCTATATTCTAAAAAATCTAGAGTTCTATTTTAATATAATAATTAGATTCTAGTCTAGTAAATGAGAGAATCTAGATCTAGAGACTAGGACTAGAATCTAGAATTCACTAGAATCATAAGAATTAGAATGACTTAAGGCGGCTTAAGTTTAACTTAACAAATTTCAAACTGGTTTTACTCTAGCCGCTAGACTCAAGTCTTTGTCTTTGTTGAGACTTAGATCTATCTCAGATAATTAAATTAAGTAGACCTAGTAATGTTAGATCTAGTAATATACAATGTATGTAACAATAGTTACTCAATAGTACTATAGTAGTAATAGTACAATAGCAATAGACCTATTAATTTTATTAATATTATTGATGAATAGGCCTATTATACTCTACACCAAAATCTAGTTTAGATTATATATTATAGATCTATATAGTATATAGATTCTATACTATATTGATATCTTATAATCTAGATTTATTTAATATTTTAGATTCTATAGGCCTATCTAGATTTTAGATTCTATTTGAATACTAGTATTACTAGATCTAGATCTATAGTTTTACTTTTAACTAATTCTGGAATATAGACCTAGAAAATTTGCTGCACACACATTTTTATTATGTTAGCTGTTATATTATACTGGTCAAGTATGGGCTATACTTCCTTGTTTGTATAGGCCTAGTAGGTTTAATTTTGTTATATTACCTCTTCTTACACTATCATATATTGCATAATGTACATCCTTTTAATTTCATGAGGGGAAGGGTATGGTAATAGATCTATTAAATGATTTTATTATAACTTAAAACAAGTGAATAGCAGCATAAAATAAGTGGCCTGAATCTTCATGATTAAGTCATTGACACAGTCATTGTCTGATGTTTTTTTAACCATATCACTATAACAATAGTGGATATGGAGTATCATTGTCTCTTTGAGATATTTAATAAGGGTACTGATTTACTGGTTTGTTACATATAATTTAATATCATACTCTTAGTTTGATTTTAGTGTACATTTCCAAAAGTTACATCTGTGATAGTTATAAATTTAACAGAGAAAAACACATTCAGTTTGTCATGTCTTTTATCCTAAATGTCATTACAATTGAATATTTTGGTTTATATTTCACAGATCGAAGAAGTTTCCTCTACGCGCTCCTCAGCTGTTCGCCCTAACAGCTTGGAGTTAGATAATGCTCTCACTCTGGATATGGATTGCGTATTTCCTGACCTTGACAATAACAATAGTAACAACAACATCAGACCAAATACTAATTCACGAAACAGCAGGAAGAAAAAGAGAAGAGCAACCATCAAAAAATTTAATGGTGTGTAACAATTTTATTTATTTAATAATGTGTATTGTATATTATTTATGTACACTTTTTTATTAGATTTTACTCATATTTTCAAAGATCTTTAAATCATTTTTTTTTCTTTCTTAGATTTATATGAGGAAACTGGAGAATTTTTGGGAAATGGATCTTATGCTTCAGTAAGAACTTACAGAAACAAAGAAACTGGCAAAGAATATGCTGTTAAGGTACATACTTTTAAATAAAAGCTAATTTTAAATGTATTTTGTCCCTTTTAGAGTTATATTTTACACATTTTTAATTTTCTTTTTTACTTTAACATTTAACTTTAATTCTAATTTCTGTTTCTACAGATGATAAACAAATGCACTAGTCTACAGCGAAGTAAAGTATTCAAAGAAATAGAAATATTCCATCAGTGTCAAGGCAGTGAAAATATCCTAAATTTGGTGGAGTATTTTGAGGAGGATGATGTTTTCTACCTGGTCTTTGATAAGATGGAAGGGGGTACGCTTCTCAGCAACATAGAGAGTCGTGGTCACCTTAGCGAATATGAGGCCTCACTTGTTGTCAGAGAAATAGCCCGTGCACTCGATTTTCTACACAACAAAGGCATTGCTCACAGAGATTTAAAGCCTGAAAACATCCTGTGCCAAAGAGTCGGTGAAGTTGTTCCACTGAAAATCTGTGACTTTGACTTGGCAAGTGGAGTACCTCTAAGTGTCAACAGTTCTGATGGTAGCAAGACACCCGAACTACTAACACCTGTTGGCTCTGCTGAATACATGGCACCTGAAGTTGTTGATGCCTGGGTTGGAGAGTCTTTTTCTTACGACAAAAAATGTGATCTTTGGAGTCTAGGAATTATTTTGTAAGTATATATATTTTTAAATACATAGCAATAAATTTAAAGTAATACAGTATTTTATTACTTTTTTTTTCTACCTTCTTTTTTTGAATATTATATGCAGAATTTCTTTTTCGTTCAAACAATAATTAAATATTGTTTTCCCTCAGGTACATAATGCTATGTGGCTACCCACCTTTCTACGGTCAGTGTGGTGAGGAGTGTGGATGGGAGAGAGGTGAAGCTTGCCAGGATTGTCAGGAGTTGCTTTTTAACTCTATCCAAGATGGTGTTTACGAGTTCCCTGAGGTTGAGTGGAGCTGCGTGTCGGAGAGTGCCAAAGATTTGATTAAACATCTGTTGGTGCGCAACCCCCGTAAGCGCTACTCAGCTGCTGACGTTCTTCAACACCCTTGGGTAACATCCCCACCAGCAGCAACTCCATTGGCTACACCTCACATTCTTACTAGGTATGTCCATTATATTCTTAAAGTTGCCTATTGTATTTAGGATGTTAAATTTTTTGATCGAACAAAATTAAAACAGTTTGGTGTGACAATTATTTCAATTTATTTTACCTTTGAATTTCAGAAACAACAGTACAAAGGATTTGGAATCATTTGCAGAAACAGCTATATCCATCAATCGCATGATGCAGCAGCACTTAATTATCTCAGGACCTCAGTTTTTTGTTAACCAAGCTGATAAAGTGAGTGAAGAAAGCAGTGGTGATGACGACGAAGCCCAGAGCGACACTGATTTGGATTCAGCTCTTTGTTTTGATTTTAGCAGCGGCATCAAGTTATCACCTCCTGGCTTGTCAGATCTTGCTAAGCGCAGAGCAACAACAACGCATGCTTCTGCCAACTATAATCATAATTGTAAAAACAGTCACCACCATCCACTTATCTCCCGATGTGGTTCTGCCATGGGCAGTGTTGAAAGTTTCTGTATTAGTTCAGGGAGCTGGCAGTAGAAAGGGGGGCAGAGCATAAGTAATATCGTTTTATCCCCCCCCCCTTGATTTTATTTCCACTGACATTTAAAGTAGGAGAGAAGCAATAGTGAAGCTTGCTGACAATTTTATAGACAGTTTAGTACACTTATCTATGACCAGGACAGTTGTGTTTATTCACAAGGACGACATTTACATATTAAATTCGCTTTAAGGAGAAAGAGTAAGTTACTTGTAGGTGTGTATATAAGACTGAATTGCCCTATGAGTTTCCAAATGTTCTTTTCTTTGAAGTTATATTTTCTGTTTTGTTACTCTTTTTTTAAATAACTTTAAAAATATACAGGAAATAGCATATTGTTTGGAGATGATAGTAGCTTTATAAAGTATCTGAGTGATATCTAGTTTAACTCAAAGTGAGATATTAAATAATGGGTATGCACTATCTACTGTGAGGTTTTTTTTTTTGCCATTTGTCTCAAATTATTTTCTATTGTTGTACTGAAAATTCACTTTTAATTTTATTTTGGCATTTATACTTTTTAAAATTTGAACTTTAGAAAAACAAATTAATGTATTTATTTATATTTTTGCAAGTGCTGATTCTTTTATTATTTATTTATTTTCCTAAGTTGATTGTTGGTATTTTTTATTTAAAAAAACTCATTTAAAAGCTAAAAAAATATAATACACATGATGGCATCATCTTTTAAAGCTCACCTAACTAAACCAACACAATCCATTTCTACTTTTGTAATTTTAATATTATTGGTGAAGCCCCATTTTATCATCCAGAATAGTAAAACCATCTGTGTATAGCTTGTCCCTTTGTACATATTTCATTTTGCCTGATGAGTGAAGTCAGTTCTGTGCATTTTTCTTGTCTTTTTTCTATCCCATTAAGACTTTGGGAAATCATTTTTTGTTTTCATTTTGTTCTGTTGCCATATATGATTTGACTTTGATTCTGTTTATCAGAACTCCAACATTTTCCGCCCATCATTATATATTTTCATGACAAAATGCCATATTGTCAGATGCTGAAGTGGTACGAGATTATCTGAATCATTCCAAGTGTAACTCATTGACATATCCAGCTTTGTTTATAAACGAACAACATTCTTGTCGATGATGTTACTTGTTTTCATCCATGTTTGAGTTAGTACAACAAAACTGTTGTAAGCCTACCAGAGTATTTTGTCACCATTAAGTGAACGCAGAGTCTTTCAAATTATGTCATTGAGCAGCCTGGTTAAAAGCATTGTTCTCAAATATTTCTGATAAAGAACAAAATTACAGCATAATGACATTAATTTTTTTCATAGGGCTTTTCTAATGTAAAAGCAAAATGTTGATATTGTAAAAGGGCCTCATGACTTTATATGAAATGATCTTCCGTTGTTGTTAAATTTGTGTAATGGCATGTATGTATGAATGTTAAATACTTTATGATGGCAGTTTTTATGCATGGTTGTAACTGTTAAGTCTTTCATTACTAATCAACGTCAAAAGTCAAAATTGTTCAAGTGGAGTCCGTGCTTGGTTTTGTACTCAAGCAATAAGTTTCTTGTCAGATTTTTTTCTTAATGTCTGCTGAAGCTTTTGAAAAACTGGTAAATCCAATTCGGTAAACTGTTAATATCTGTGATATACTATGAAACACACATAGGCTGTCTCACTCCAAGAAACTTCAAATTTTTCTATTAAGGCTAGGTTTAAGTCATTTAAATCTAACTTTACACATTAGCAGCCAAATGAATTGGTTTTCATTTTTTAAGTTTTATTTTTAAAAATTTCGATTAAAAAATAGAAACCAGTGTTTTAAAAAGGGGGCTAGTATTTTGTGTTGGATGTTTCCTGGAGTGTAAAGCTTTACTAGCAAATTTTAGTTGTTGATGTTGTTCTTTGTTCTCCACCTTCAAGACAAGAGAATGTGCCTTGGAGAACTTGGGTTGAATCTCTATTCAGTGTGGGAATGCTTCTGCGCAATGTCTGTGTATGTATTGAAGGTGGGTATTTTCAATGGCTCTAGTCTTTTTAAAAACCTCACCAAAGTGAACATGGGTGTCAGATTGTGACGAATGCTTTTTTTACATTACTACACTGTAAAGAAAAAATAACTATTTTTTCTACATTTGCTAGTGTAACTGTTGAGATAACTAAATGTATAGTTATTACAGTGGTGTTTGTGCAATTTTTTTTTTTTTACAATTGTGGAGAAAAATGTGTTTAAAAAAATTAAAAATATAAAAAAATCTAAAAAGCAAAAAAAAAAAAAACAATATAAAATGCCCGATCCAAACCTGTCTTTGTAGTAGCTACATCTTGTTCACAATTGGCATCTATTTTAATTTGTTGGTGTAGGGACTTAGACAAGTTTGGATTCTGTATCATTTGAGCTTGGTCATTCATACCTGGGCATTGAAACAGGTTTTGCTGAAGAGGTGTTGAACCTGCTGGTATTGTTTACTAATGTGGGCATGACTCTTGTCCTCAGGATTGATCAGGTCAAATGTCAAGGTTGTGTTCATTAATTTAGCAGTTATTTTTTTTTTTTTTAAACCACCCAATCAATGAATCAAATACATTGAAATATATGTTGGATTTGTACAAAAAGTAGAAAAACATTTAGGCTGTTAATGGATTACATTATTTTCAGCTCTTTGTTTAGCTCAGGGTTTTCCATCAAATTTCTAACTAGTATCTGAAATTCTAAATATTTTACAAGGCCTCAGCTGTTGTAAAGCTGCTGGCACATTTTTTACATTGCTGAAAGAATAATAAAAAAATTATTACAATTTTATACATGCCTTTGTTTTATGTTTTGTCAGTTTTTAAATTCATCCAGATTTTTGTATGAATGAGGAAAGCTCATGAATATGGTAAAAATATTTTTCCTTTGCTCCTTGTGAAAGCATATTTAGCTTCATAATAAAAGCAATATAAAATATAGAAAGTGTATTTACTGTAATATAAAATACCACCCACTCAAAAAATTGGCCATGGACCAAAAATGCGTGAAATTTTTAACGACCCCAAGGGTTTGGCAGGGGATGAGTTTCTGGAAATAGAGCACACGATTTTAAAGGCGAAAAGTTGAAGGCAGAATCTACCTACGTAGTTCTCACGTGCACGCAGGCCTTGCCCCATTCAGTTGAATCGGTGCCAAGATGACGAAATTTTCCAAGGTAAAAAGTTCGCTTAAATCATGCATATATATTCTTAGATCAACAAAGGTGTACACTGTCTACACACACACATATACTCTGTGTATACTGTCTACACACACACACGTATATATATATATATATATATATATATATATATATATATATATATATATATATATATATATATATATATATATATATATATATATATAGAAAGAGAGAGAGAGACTACACATTGCTTATCATGTAGAGTTTATATAGATGCTTATATTCATGTACACATACATAAACATGTATATTGGCTATATATGAATTAAGGCATATATATATATATATATATATATATATATATATATATATATATATATATATATATATATATATATAGGCTATATATAAGCTGCTAGAACAAAGAGAATCCTAGGATCTGACCTACCTAGTCTTCCTACAACCCAGACATTGGCGGCCGTCCAGGAAGTTAAATATAACTCACCAGGCACTTTTTGTGCACACAGTCAAAACTTACCTCCAGCCAAAATCAAACGCAATAGGTTGGTATGTGCATGGCTTTTATTTGACTGTACGTATGCTCTTCACGTCGAGCTGTGTACATTACACATGTGCTGGACGCTAAACAAACACGTTTAACACACGTCAGATGTGCTCTACTCAACAAAAAGCTCGCTGTTTTATAAATCTCATACCACAAGGCCTTCTCTGTTGTTGTTGATTTACAGCTATTTTATTTTAACTTCATAGCCAGAGTTTCTTCCAGGCATCTCTTTGCCCCCACCCCCAACCCCGAAAAAATTCTACTGCCCCCCCCCCCCCCCCCGAACGAAATGAAAATTTATATAATTTATATAGAAAATATATACCTTTAACAGTGTCCCCCCCCCCCGAAGAAAGTCTACCCCCCCCGCCCCCACCCCTCCCCGAAAATTTCAAGGGCCCACCCCCCCCCCCACCCCCCCCCCCCCCCCCCACCACCCCCCCCCCCCACTCCTGGAGAAAAAAGTCTGGAAGAAACACTGTTCATAGCCGAGCGTACGTTAATTTTCCGACCGACGATTGTAGTTGATATACGTTACAAAATACGATTTCTTACTTTTCTAGTTTAAAAAATATATCCTTGGAAATGACGTGAGACATCCCAGGTAAATACTACAGACTTTCCTAGAAACCCAGATATTAGCGACCTGAACACGATTCCTGACGGCTGAGAAATGTCAGGGGTTGCCGTAGTTTTCCATTCGATGCCTCTAACTTAAGCATGTAGATTGTATATTGAATATTGTCAAAGGTTGTCTATTTTTTCCTTCCATTGTCTCTAACTTTATCATGTACATTCAGAGTTTCTTCCAGGCATCTCTTCGGGGGGGCTAAGCCCCCCCGAAAATTTTTTACCGCCCCCCCCCCCCCCCCCCCCCCCGAACGAATGAAATTTATATAATTTATATAGAAAATATATACTTTTAACAGTGTCCGCCCCCCCCCCCCCCCCCCGAAGAAAGGCTACCGCCCCCCGAAAATTTCAAGTGCCCCCCCCCCCCCCCCCCCCCGGAGAAAAAAGTCTGGAAGAAAACACTGTGTACATTGTCAGGGAATGCCTTATTTTCCTTCCAGACCAAATGTACCCTCTAAGGGGGAAAAGCTAGTGTGCAAAATGTATTTTCTGTGCGCTGTGTTCTAAGTCTTATACAAGGATATATTTATTTTACAAAATCACTGCGCGGCAGCTCAAAACTCCTGCGCGGCCACACAACCGCGCAGGTTAGAGGGAACATTGTTCCAGACCCTCTAACTTTACCATGTAGATTACCAATGTAGGATGTAAATTTCAATGGACGTGCATCCAACCACGGAGTGAGCACCGTTTAAGTCTGAGTATCCGCGGTTAGTTCGTGTGCACGTGATGGTATCACCGAGATCAGTTCAGGAAGACCAAGGAGTGTCTACGTTTCTGTTCACCTTTCTCGTTGTTCAGCAATAAAAAAAAAACTGTAACTGATTGTTAGGCTTCTTTTTTTTTTTTTAAATCCGGTGTTACCTAGCACTCCTTGAATTAGTAAAAAATAAATATTTAAAAAAAATTAAAATAAAAACGCTTCTGTAAATTTGTTTCTCTCCACAACAATATCAATTTAAAAGAGCAGGTTTTAAAAAGTCTGAGTATTTTTTTTTTTTTGGAAAGGGGTCGTCCATAAATGACGAGGGGGTCCGTAATTTTTGTGTCGGTGTTTGATGAGGGGGGGGGGGGGGGGGGGGGGGGAGGGGAATCAGATGGTGTGACGTCACATTTTTGCAAAACTTTGTTGGAAAAACGAGTTTTAGCCGTTATTTCGCGTTTTAGAAAACGGTTTTAATAAATTATAATAGGAATTGTTCAAAATACTCTATGTTGACAGAGTTCTGACAAGATTTTGGAAAAGTATCGATGTTTTAAGAAAAATTCAACAGCAATTTTGAGGGGGGTTGTAATCTGAGGTGTCACGTCATGTTGGGGAAGGGGGTCCGGCTTTTTGTGACGACTTGTGACGGTGGGGAGGGGGGGAGGTAAAAAATCGTCAAAAAAGCGTGACGTCATTAATGGATGACCCCCCAAAGATATTATTAGTTCCAGAGCTTCGTTTTGAATCGTTTGAATGTATCCGGTCTGCTGTCTTCTACAGACAACAATATCCAACAGTGACCTTTCTTTTGTTTAGATTCAACCCTACTCGCTTACAAGAGTTTCTTTCAGACT